AAGCCTGTTTAACCAGTTCCAGTATCCTAGGAACATGAGCGAACAAGCACGACCGTTCGTCCTTAAGGGCCCCTTTACGGTCAGCGTTGAGTCCACTGACACCTTGGCACGGGGGCCCCGCTCCCACGATGATCAAACTTGCCTGCGAAAAACGAGTGGCCCAACCCTTTACCACCTCGGCATCCACCGTAGTAACATCCTCCCACAAAAGGGAGGCAGGATACCTGGATTCTGTAACCCTCCTGGCCTCTGCGTTCTTCTCGACAGCAATGTGACCCAGCAATGGCAGCCGCGAGGCCTCCGCCGCAACTCGAAGTGCACCAATGCCATCGAAGAGCCCAATGGTCACCACCCCGCAAAAATCAAAGGGTTCAGGAAGGTCACCTCGCTGTGGTCTTTGGGAGGCTATAACTCCCCACGGGCTCAGGCCCTTGCTCCGGGTTACGCCTCCCCCCGTCGACGAAGCGTCACTGGCTGTAACCATCCCCTGGATCTCTGTGCGGAAATCAAAATGTGCAAGGGGAACCAAACCCACAAACCTCAAGATCTCCATCTTGACCAACTCAGGAGTACGTAGGACGGATCCGTCTCTCAAACCTTCGAAGCTCTTAATATAAGACCATATGTGGTTCAGCGCCGAAAGGAGGGGCCTACGGAACATAGTCATATAAACGAAACCCCCTCCCACAATCTGAGCTTGTCGTTGCGTGCTAAAGGTAGAACCGGCTAATTTCAGCCCCAAAACCACATACTTCAGGATCTTCTCCACCTTTGGATAAGCCACGCCACGCACCCCGTCAACCACAGCTCCCTGTACTTCTGCCTGAGATTGAAGGGCCACAGCTTTCTTTGGGTGCCTTGGGATGTTCCAACTTGCATACGCCTCCTGAAGGGCTAACACAGTAGGAGTCAACTCTCCCTTCACCGTGGCGGCTAGGTCCTTGTTCACCTTTATGAGCTCGTCAAAATTGTCCAAATAAATACGGAACATGTTGCTAGAAGAAGGAAAGGGCCTGTCACGCCTCAACTCCTGATCCCCTCCATTTAGACGACCAGAGTTCATCAAGCCCTGCCGCAAAACATACCGATGTACATGTTGGGCAATGCTCACAGAATTCTTGAAACCCATCGGAAGAACAGTCGCAGCCAGGTAACATGTACCAGATTTCCCTTCACAGAGGCTTTTAGGCAAGGGGCGGTTGAAGGCCATGAACCTATGCCAAGAAACGGGTACTTTAAAAATGTAAAAGAAACATCTCACGTCCTCGCTTGAAATGAGAAGGTCCTCATCGATATCCAGCGACAGTGGCCCCATAGAACTCCACGAAGGAAGAGTAGCAACGTCGCCCTCAATACCCCGACAAATACGATTCAAGGGTATCAAGTTCATGATGAGCCGGTGGACCTCAATCTCGCCTGACCAGTCGCCCTTTGAAACCCCGAAGAGACCATTCAACAGGGGCTTGTCCTGCACGTGATAAACCTCTGACTCCTCAATAACTTTGCAAATGCCTCGTTGAACCAGGTTTGTTGCGAGCTCCTCCCAATCCCCGGGAGGAACCATGACCTTTGGCCCTTTCGTGAACACCTGGTCCTCAACCGGGAGAAGATAGTTCTCGAAGTTCTCAACATAATGCTTGCACCCTGCATCACAAACGTCAGAAAGGGCAACCGTCCCAACTTCCGAGGGCAATGCAGGGGATAACATCTCCCAAGAAACCGCACGTGCAACCTTGACCTCCTCTCCTTGATAATCAACCCCTTTGACTCTGAAGAACTCACCCCAGTCCAGGAACTCCGCCTTTTCCAGCCACCGACCAGCGGCGCACGCTTCATCCATGAGACCCCCCAAAAGCCGCTGTTGGCAGGGGGTCCCATCTCCAACCATGGACACTGGGGAGCCATTAAGATGATTCAATGACCAAATCATGTTCTGAAGAATACTCCTCTCCTCGTCCTTTTTGTTCGGGAATAGTTTCTTGAGGGAGCAAAAGGCTGATGGCAAGGGAAAGATGTTGCCAATGGACTTGGTCATGCAGCTTCAAGACAAATATTGAAACAGCGATGCTCCCAAATGAACTGCTCCCTCACCAAAGGTAAGGCCCCCCAGTATCTCACCTACTCCCTTCTGCGCCCCTACCTCGGGTCGGCCCGAGGGCAGAGGCAACATCCCCTGGCTAGGAGCGCTGTTGGCTCCCTTCATGCATGGCAGTACCTGAATTCTTCCACGGTCTGTCATCTTCTGAGGGACGCTGTGGTCCCAGGTCTCATCCTCCTCTGTAATAGTCCGGTCCTCACCTCTCCCATTCTTAGGAGATCTCCAGGCTGGCGCTTCCTCCTCTTTGCTGACTCCGGCCGTCCTTACTTCTTCTCTGCACCTTTGGATCCCTTCTCCTCCTTGCCCTTCTTGCTCTTGCCTTTGCCGTCTCGTCCTTTTCCTGGCTCTCGCCAACCACCCTTCGGTTGCTGCTCCCTCCCAGGAGCACCTTTTCCAGGGTTCTGCCAGGCACCTTCTCCGCGGGCTTCCTTTATCGCGATCGCCGCCTCCGCCCGGGTTGCTACTTGCGCTGTCTCCAAGGGGCACAGCTCCATCTTCTGAGCAGTCTGCCACGGCATCCCCTGAGAGACCTGCTCCAACGATTTCAGGCGCTGCAGCAACAGGTCGATCGCCTCGGCGACCCTCCCTTGGGCCAGGAGGTCCGCACCATAGGCCAGGGTGAACGCCTCTCGGGCCATCGCACCATGGAGCTTCAGCTGAAGCACCGTCCTGAAATAGTGCACTCCCACCGGCGCCAGATCTCTGCTTTGGCCCCACAGCTGCCCTGAAGCCGCGACCAACGATTTCTTCATCTCGTTGATGGACGCCGCTGCCAAAACTCCTGGGCCTCTTACTCCAACTCTCCTGATCCTCTGCGCCTCCTCGAACACCCCCGCGTCCTCCTCCTCTGCAGCAGCCTCAGGCTCTTCTTTACCTTCCTCACCACCTGTCTCCTCACCTTGACATCCGGGTCCATCCCGGTGTTTCCAAACACGGCGCTCAGCTCCTTTGTTGCTTCGACCTTTACTCCTCTCTTCGCCTTCTTTTTCTTTCTCTTCTTCTTTCTCCTCCGGCTGGATGAGCTGGTCGAAGAGCTTGACTCGCTTCTCGCCCTCTTCTTCTCCATACCTCCTGCCTCCTTTTCCTTTGCCCTCTTGCTCTTTCTTCCAGCCTTCAAATCTTCCTTCTCCAGCTCGTTTCCCCTCTCTCTCAACGCCGCCATGTCGTCCACCTGAAACGGCACATGCCCCACCAGGTTGTCCAGCCACGCCTCCCTTGCTCCTGGGAGGCGAAGCCTGACTTTCTTCACGTGGACCAGCCCGTCCTCGCATAGGCCTGCCACGCAACCGTCCCCGCACATGTGGAGCTTGCATCGGCTCGCTGGGTTCCCTGTCGACCACTTCAGGAGGTCCTCGTTCTCCGTGCCCAGCAGCCGAACCTCCACGACGACACCTGCTCCGTCCTCTTCGACTCTCTCCACTGTTCCACATAGCGTCACGGGGGCTTCCCAGTAGTTGCCTTCAACCACGATCAAGCTCTGGCCTGGCCTAATCAAATGTCTCGGCAACTCCACCACGTTCACACTCTCTCCTCTCTCAAACCTCTCTTCAACTGGATCCACCTGTCTACCAGCCGGCCTCCTCCACACGGCCGGCTCCTCTCTCTCTTCCTCCCCAGCTGGTCTCCTTCGGACCCTAGGAGGAGCTACCGGCAGCCGGGCCAGGGCTTTAGCTCTCCCCTTTGCAGCTGCTTTGGCCTTAGCAGCTCCTCTTCTACCGCCCACCTTCGGAGGCATCAATCTCCTCGGCCTCCCCAGTGCTTTCCACCGCCTTTTCCTTTTCCTCCTCCAAAGCGCTCTCTGAACCTCCTCTGCTGCTCTCTTTTCTTACGCCCTTTGTTCTTTCCTCTCCTTTCCTCACCTCTGTACTCCTCTCGGGGCCGAATCAGCAGGTCCTCGATGAAGCCCCCCGGGAGCCTCCGCAAAGGGGACCGGCTAAGGTCCCTCCTGATCTCCTCCTTCTCTCTGCTGTCTGATGCCTCCTCTCTCCTCTCTTCACCTTCAGCCCGTTCCTCAGTGGCCTCCTTGTCCTTTGCAATAAGCCGCCGGATGTGCCCCTCACTCGAAGTGCTCCTATGCCTCTTCGCCTTATCCTCCTTGCTTGATGACACCGGAGAGGTGGGGGTCCGATGTCTGGCTTCTCGTGGGCGCTCCTCTTCCTCCTCGCTCGCGACGGGCTCCTCCTTGACCCCCACCGAACCTCCGACCTGGTGCCACGGAAACTCTTCCCTTCCTCTTTTCGATTCCTTTCCTCCCGGACTTCTTGTGACCTCTACGCTCTCCTCGCGTTTCCCCCTCGATGACCTGGACCTCTTCCTTTTCTTCTCCTTCTCCCTCTTCTCCTCTTTCTTCCTTTTCTTCTTTTCCTTCACTCTCTCCTCACCGGCCTCTTTGGCCCCAGCAGCCTCTGCCGCTGAACCTGTGTCGGAGGCCGGGGGGACTGCCAGGTCCCCCGGTCCTCCCTCAGGAGCCCGAGCTCCCACAGGAGATGCTCCCTCCGAAGGAGCACCTCCTACCCCTCCCGTCCCAGGAGGGGTTGCTGCAGGGGGCTGGGTTGTCAACCAGTGATCCCGATCCCGAAGGTCCAGGATCTCCCCCTGCAGCAACCTCACACGCTCGAGGGCCCGGCTCCAGAAAAAGTAGGAGCTAGACCCTCGGCACAGATCCCTGACCCTGCTAAGGGTCAGGCACAAATCGCACTGGCACACTCCTTCGGAGGAGTGGCCAGTGGACATAGCCCGCAAGCCGAAATCTGGCGGAACGCAAACCGAATTCATCTTTACATGCCGGGCCGTTACATCATATATAAAGGCAAACCGAGCACGCAAGTGAGAACCAAAGTCAACGTGCAACCACTTGAGCAGAACGCGTGTAAAAAGAACGACAACTGAGCCTCAAGCGAGGCTAGCGCCTGCCTCCCCAGTAGTTGTTGGTGTTGCACATCACTGCGGCCGGGTTGAGGACGGCCACTTCCGCCGCGCAAGTGGCCTGCGAATCCGCGAAAGGAGCGAGAGCAAGCTGCCTGGTAAGTGGTTCTGGGCTAGAACCCTCTGCTTATCAGGATGAATCCTGCCTTGAGCCCATGGCTTCTCCGCTCAGACTAACGCCAGGGCAACGACAAAATTGTCAGTTGTGCGAGTGCCATCTCTAATTGGTATCTTTTTCGGTGCCAAGAGTCTGGCCTCCTGACAACTTGCAGGGAAGCACGCAAGACAAAGACCACAGCATAAGCTTCTGGCGAGGCTCTGGTGAGAATCCATCTAAACCTCAGAGAAATCCATGGAAAGCTTTGTGTCCGAACTGATAAGAGGAACACTGCGCATGAATTCCCTAGCATGAACTGATTCCACCTCAACTATGGTCTATAATGGGAGAAGCCGTCCTTGCTCTCAAACTCAACCATACGAACAATGAAGCATCTGTCCTGCTAGTTTATGATCAGACCAATTCTGTCCACATTTCGACGCCCCTTGACGTAGCTTTGCAAGGCGGCTGTTATGATGAGAGGGTCTGGCAAACCCTCCATGAATAAGTAACATAAGAACAGAAAGAACACGGAAAAGGAGGGGAATAGCCGGAAAGTGTATTGCAGGAGAACACGAAGAGGGCTGTAAAAGCGAAGACACGCAATCACACACACCATATATATATATATACACCGCGTTTGCGCGGCCTGCCTGCCGCCTTCCCGCCCGCCCGCCCCCGCCCCGCCACATGCTCAATAGCACCCTTGCTCTGGTCAGGGTTGGGCGAACCCCTGGTTCCAACATGCCCAAGCAACAATCGCTTAAACAACCTCATTTCGGTTTCCAATTGACCAGAGCCCGTTTCTCTCAACAGACCAAAGTTTTGAGACAGACACTCGCAGAGGATGGCTACGCACGAGATGCCCTGACTAAAAACGCCCTCGTGTCCAGCTGGGCTCCAACTCTCTCGCCAAGGTGGGGCCACCCTCTTGTTTGGTTTGCCTTTTGGACCGCGTAAGGCGCTCCAGCTCTCTCGCCTCGCGCTTGTAGAACTTCCACGTGCGGCCCCCGAAGCTGGTGTCTTTCTTCGTCCTGGCCGGGCCCTCTTCCACTTGTGGGATCAGTTCGGCCCCTGAAATGCTCTCTGTTGCCTTGCAACACCTACAGAAAACCCTCTTTTATGGGGGGAATGACATGGCACTTGCACCTGGGACAAGTTTGGCATACCTTTACCAGCCACGGCGGGGGCGCATAGAACAAGCAGCTATGGTCCATTGGGAAGTCCTCCCTACAATTAACGCAAGGAACACCACAAATGATGGCTTTCTGGGTTTCCATCTCAATCTGTTGGGGACGCTTGGAGAGGCCAAAGGTTTTTCGTGGCTAAAGGGTACGGCCAAACGCTTCCGCACCCTGGCATTGTGTAATATGGTCGTAAGCTTAAATTCTGGATCTTTTGGTACATGATGTATGTCCACCAAACATTTAGCACATTTAGCACGGTATTATCCATTGAAACTCATAGCCATATGCTCCGAAGTTGCCTCCAATCAGCAAGCCAGGGCATTCCAAGCATTCCAAGCATTCCAAGCATTCCAAGCATTCTGAGCATTCTAAGCATTCTAAGCCTACACGTTGTTACATATGTTACAAACCACCATTGCTTAAACTGCCTCCTTTCGGCTTTCCTCTACAACCCGGGTTGTTTCAACAACCTTTGCCCATCCCAAGCCCCGAAATCCGCCCGGAAGCGCCGAACGAGAACGTGCCTGGCTTTGGAGTCGGGGGCAGCGCCCATGAGCATCTGCTTCACCCCGAACTCGCAGTCCGACTCTTCCCAGACCGACTCCTGGGGACTGGGAAAGCGGAAGCCCTCGGTTATTCGGTTTTGTGTAGTTAGTTTTCTGTTGCTGCCCTTGTGGTTCTTGCTTGCTCTCTGTTGTGCTGCTTTGTAGCACCCAAATATCAATCGGTGCGACGGATTTCGAATGCCACTTCGGGATGTGCCAGCTCAGGTGTGCCCTGGAACATTAGCATTGCTGGCTCAGGGATTCCTTGCCGGCCTTCCAAATTGAACGGCATGAGCGGGCTGCGAATTGACTGGGTAGCAACGTCAATTGGAAATCATGCTGCCGCAAGCTGGTTGATCAAATCAGGGAAAGCAAGGCATAGGGGATCCTTCACTGGTTGATGAAAACGCGCACACCTGGGCCGTGTTTGAAGCCCTTAGATGCCGGTGTTCAATCTTGAATCCGACTCGGCTTGATTGTTCTTTACATTATGCGGAAAATCGGATAAGACTTGGCAAACAAGATGTTGGGGGGAAAATACATATGTATTTTTTAGGATTGGTTTGTTCTGTATCTATGTATGCTTATTTTGATTCGTTGCTTATGTCTATTAATTTCGGTGCTCCAGAAGAAGCGGTCTGCCCCATATGGCTCTTTCAGGGAGTCGTCACGTTCTTCATGCGGTTGATTCAGAATTCGTTCACCGCACTCTCTGGCAGAATGCCCTTCTTGCTGTGAAGCGATGCAAAGGTCCATGATGGTGATTTCCTCCAGTACAAGTACGAATGCCGATGCCAACACCGGCGATGCTGCGCAGCCACAACAAATCCAGTTTTCTCCTGAACATGTCAGTGTTGCAAACCTTTCCGATTCCGCTGCATTGTTTCAACAGCCTTTTGGCTTCCCTTTGAAGAGCACAGGGTCTGGTGGATTCAACTTTGTCCAAAGCCTGTTCACAGTTTTGCCAGGTTTCACGGAATCAAACAACTGCATTCACGCTCTGAACTTAGCATTCACCCGATCCCCGGCTGTCAGGCGATTCGGAACACCTGCCTTCTCAGGAGGGAGGCTGTTGCTGAAGAGGATGTCATAAGTTCCTGGCACATGCCACGCTTGTGGCTAAACATAAGCATTATGATGCTGACAGCAATGAGGCGCAGCAAACGGCTAGTGTTGGCATAGCAATAATAATAATAATCAGAATAATCAGAATAATCAGAATAATTATAGTAGCAGCAGTAGGAGGGAGAGGAGGTGCAGTAGTAGGAGCAGCAGCAGCAGCAGTACTAGCAGCAGAAAGTGGACTCATTTCTGGCCGCCGAAACACGGTTCGGGGGCCTGAGACCTCGAAGAGTTGGTGTCACGTCAGTTCCTTCTCAAACCTTTCAACCAAAAGGGGTTGCTCATTGACACGCATTCCCCACATACACAGACACCAGTTGTGGGCAAGAATGGTTTCCGGAATTTATAGGTTCAGAGCGATCATTTTGGCTAAGGTATTCAAGAAGTGAGTCGTGGTTGAACCGGCATTCGAATGATGGCCCGATGCTCGTGCGGACAGTTTGAGCGCTATCTGCTTTCAACCGTCTGCCTGGTGACAACACCAGTGGCCGACGAGCATTGCCGCTCTGCGGTTGCGCAGTTGCCAGTCAACCGTAGGTTGTTGCAATAGCGCGCAGAGACCTTTCATTGCTTCACACCAAAATTAGAACGTTGATTCTAGTCTAAGACCCAGAGACAACAATGGCTTGCCGGTTCATCCAGCAACATCCTGAAGCCAAAGCGCAACTAATTGAGACAAGGGTCTGGACAATCTCTAATAGTTTGCCCCTATACTATGTCAAAACAGATGTTGTCTAGTACCCCGCAACCTCACTCCAATTCCTTTTGGCCCTTGTAGTCGGAGGGAAGCCCCGACCTCATGGTAAGGCATGGTTTCAACGGCTCTCCATATGATCATTCAAAAATTGGGCTCTAATTTCACATGATCTGAAGGTTTACTCATTAAACATAGGCCATAGTGACAACTATGCTTTATGCTTGGAGGCAAATCTGAGGTGAAACATATCTAACCTGTGCAGCTTTAAAAGCTGCATTGGAAAGCAAGCTGGTCAACTGTTTTGTGGACAAGGGGCCCCAAACTGACAGGGGGGTGGAAGACTACAGTCCTCTCAAGAAGCCCCTCTGTCCACTTGAATGATTCATCCTCAAACAGGTTAAGGCTGTCTTGGCCCACCACCCAATTGGCCGGTAAGGCTCTTCCGCCACCGCCTATTTCCAGCTCCACTTCAACTTGCATAACGTTTAAACCCCTTGGGCACCCCAAGCCCCCGGCGCCCGAAGCGCCTCCGTTATCCTGGCCCTTCGACAGGCTCACCAGCGCGTAGCGCATGCCCTGCACCTAAGCGCTTGCCTTTGGGACTTCCGGCTGACCCTGGGGTCATGTGTTTGGACTTGGTCAAAGTCATATGGCCATGGGTCAAAAGCCAAATCATACCTGCCAGTGAACATCCCAATCCCCACTAAAGTGGACTAAAATGGGTGGTGCACCCACAGCCACATAGTTGTTGTTTTCCGGAACAAAAGGGGTTGCGCGTTTAGGTTTCAGGGCGCCGAAACCTGGTGTTGTTTCCCTTGAACCTGCTGGGGGCTGACTTGGAAGAGCAGACCCCAGTTGGGTGAAGTTGCCAACCAGATTTCCTAGGAGTTCATCCATCCCAACCAGTGCAGGATTTTGTCCATCCACAAGAAACCCAAGGTCCCCCGCCCTCCGAAAAACCAGGTTAAAACCCAGATGGTGGTCCGGTTTCGCCACATCTGGGGCAAGCTCGGCATGCCTCCAAGACAATTATATGGGCGCGACATGCTTTCCAAGCTAGTCGAATCAGGACACTGCTTGAGATCTACTGGAAAGAGCGCTGGATCTTAAAACGCATTTCCATTTCGTTTCTTTGTTGTTACTTAACTAGCATAAAGAGGCACGTGCTACTCCATAAACTGCTGAACCACAAGCTCGCCTTGCAAATCTTGCAGTTTCTGACAAGTTTGCCTGTCTCCAGAGTACATGGGTTTGTGTTAGGATGAGGGGACCCCAAAAGCGGCCGTTTAAAACCCATCAAATCAAGGGTGCCGCACGACAGAAAAGGCG